TTTAATTTAATTTGAACCCAACACATAAATAGAATATCGTTAAATAGATAAATATATATAAATATATATATCTACTCGCTCTCTCCTCCGGCCCCCGACTAAAAGGAGTTTGACCCCATGTTGTAGTCAGATAGACAGATTAGATCAGGTAAACCTCTGCCCCTGAGGCCCACATTGGTGAGGCCCACATTGGTGAGGCCCACATTGGTGCATGTCAGGGGCCGGACATAATTTACTATGTTTTTCTCAGGCTTCATTTTTACATATTTGAACGGGCTTAACTGTTGGCTTTCAGCCAGAGGCCTACAGCAAATACATTTTAGATGATTATGTAATGGATTTAAATGTTATATATCACAGCAGAGGTAGGAGGAGACTGCGGCTCCAGATTTGGACTGTTACAAGTCTTTCCTTTTGGAAAACAAAGACAGCTCCTGTGTTGCTGCTGTTTTGCCGGAGGAAGTGGTCCACCATCCTCGGCCTTATCTCCCCACACAGGAGAGCAGACACAGGTGTGAGGGCGTCTGAATGTACAGCTGTGTGTCATCTGCACATACTACACACAGTCACACATTGTATGCATTGATAATCTCAGCCAGGGGACACATGTAAAGGGTAAAGAGAGCAGGACCCAGAACAGACCCCTGGGGCACGCCACATGTCACTGTGTGCGCAGTGGTTTAGACTCCCCGCTACTTTCCCACAAGGTACGACTAGAACCAGGTGAAGTGAGGAGTCTTAGCCACAGTCCTGATGGAGACGGAGAAGGATATTGTGGTCCAATAAGATGGGGAGAGATGCTCATGATCCACCAGGGGGCGGTCTCCGTTCAGGGGCGGGACCAAAAATCGGAAGACTGAGATTTTGTCATCAGTGCAGAGGGAATGGTGAGGGGTGTCCTCCAGGTCCTCCAGGTGATTGGTTACAGGTGACCATTAACAGGAGATTTTCTTTGAGCCCAAATCTGTAACTTCAGTCAGTTCTTGAGTCAGTTCAGAGGCTTTTTCTTTATGCTTCTTTGGATAATTAGTCTGGATATAAACTTCAAAATATAGATGTAAATAGATCTAGAATCTATTGACCTGGACAATGGTGTAATGTAGGTCTGATATAATGGAAGTATGCATTCTCGACGTAGGCAAGTAGGTAGGTAGGTATATGGGCAGGTAGGTAGGCAGGTAGGGGGGTAGGTTGGTAGGTAGGTAGTTACAGTAGGTGTAGGCAGGTACAGTATATAGGTAGGTGGGTTGTTAGGTAGGTATATAGGTAGGTACAGTAGGTGTAGTCAGGTATATCGGTACAGTAGGTGTATAGGTAGGTAGGTGTAGGTATTGTCAGTATATAGGTAGGTGGGTAGGTAGGTATATAGGTAGGTAGGTAGATAGATAGGTTGGTAGGAAGGTAGGTAGGTAGGTAGATAGATAGGTAGGTAGTTAGATTGGTAGATAGGTAGGTAGGTAGGTAGGTTGGTAGATAGAAAGGTAGGTAGGTAGGTAGTTAGGTTGGTAGATAGATAGGTAGGTAGGTAGGTAGTTAGGTTGGTAGATGGATAGGTAGGTAGGTAGGTAGTTAGGTTGGTAGATAGATAGGTAGGTAGATAGGTAGGTAGGTAGTTAGGTTGGTAGATAGGTAGGTAGGTAGGTAGGTTGGTAGATAGGTAGGTAGGTAGGTAGGTAGGTAGATAGGTAGGTTGGTAGATAGATAGGTAGGTAGGTAGATAGATAGATAGATAGATAGGTAGGTAGGTAGGTTGGTAGATAGATAGATAGGTAGATAGGGAGATAGGTAGGTAGGTAGGTAGGTTGGTAGGTAGATAGGTAGATAGGTAGGTAGTTAGGTAGGTTGGTAGATAGATAGATAGGTAGATAGATAGATAGGTAGGTTGGTAGGTAGATAGGTAGGTTGGTAGGTTGGTAGGTTGGTAGGTAGATAGATAGGTAGGTTGGTAGGTTGGTAGGTAGATAGGTAGGTAGTTAGGTAGGTTGGTAGATAGATAGATAGGTAGATAGATAGATAGGTAGGTTGGTAGGTTGGTAGGTTGGTAGGTAGGTAGATAGATAGATAGATAGGTTGGTAGGTAGCCAGCTCCTGTCAGACCTCTGAAGCCGATGCATTAAAAACAGCCGTTTCTTACTTTAACCCAGTCATTTTAACACAAATCAGAAAAGTCTTGCGTCTGTGTCTCCACGATCTTCTCTGTTTGTGAATGTTCTTCTTCTGTGTTTGTGAATGTTCTTCTTCTCTGTTTGTGAATGTTCTTCTTCTCTGTTTGTGAATGTTCTTCTTCTCTGTTTGTGAATGTTCTTCTTCTCTGTTTGTGAATGTTCTTCTTCTCTGTTTGTGAATGTTCTTCTTCTCTGTTTGTGAATGTTCTTCTTCTCTGTTTGTGAATGTTCTTCTTCTCTGTTTGTGAATGTTCTTCTTCTCTGTTTGTGAATGTTCTTCTTCTCTGTTTGTGAATGTTCTTCTTCTCTGTTTGTGAATGTTCTTCTTCTCTGTTTGTGAATGTTCTTCTTCTCTGTTTGTGAATGTTCTTCTTCTCTGTTTGTGAATATTCTTCTGTAAATATGAGCCGCGTGCAGTAAAGTCGGGGGAACTTCTCCGCTGTGTCTTATCCAGTTTACAAATGTAGAAATAAGCCGTAAGTGAAAGACTGAAGAGCTATTGTAAACAACACGGACACGCCTCTGGGACGTCAACAACACGCTGAGGCTGCAGTCAACGTGGCGCCGAAACGTACCGAATACTAAACAGGAAGATCAAACGCCGGCTGTAATTTGCATTAATGAAAAATACATTGGCAAGTCTTACACAGTATGCTAATGAGGCTAACGGTATGCTAATGAGGCTAACATTCAAGAGTTTTCTTTTCAACTGCATTCACTCGGAACATACAGTCTCAGAGGGGTCGATACTGACGGAGGCGCAGGTCATCTCTGCACCATCAACTCTGCACCATCGACTCTGCACCATCGACTCTGCACCATCAACTCTGCACCATCGACTCTGCACCATCGACTCTGCACCATCAACTCTGCACCATCAACTCTGCACCATCAACTCTGCACCATCAACTCTGCACCATCAGCTTCATCTCTGCACCATCAGTCTTTTTTAACAGTCAATTTTCACATTGTGTTGTTGGTGTTTTTGTGCTCTGGTGCTAGCTCTGGTACTAGCTCTGGTGCTAGCGCCGGTGCTAGCTGTCGTGAAGCTAATGTAAATTAAAAATGTGGCTAGCAGGTCCTCTGGTGTGAGTGTGAGTACAGGTCAATGGTATCGACCAGACGCTGTTGGTTTCGGTGCATCCATAATTATTAGTCTTACTCACAGGTACAGCTGCAGTCTCTCTTCAAGGCCAGTCATCTTTATTTATATAGCGCATTCACAGCGAGGTCTCACTGCTCTACAGTGTTTTTATATTCACTTTACAAACGACAGAAGCGAGACGCCCACACTGTCCATCCCTCCACTCACTCATATACACTCAGACCTGTGCATGTCTGTAGTGGGAGGGGAAACCGGAGCACCTGGAGGAAACCAGAGCAGACACGGGGAGAACATGCAAACTCTACACAGAAAGGCAAGGAGTAGTTTATTTGTATAACACAGTACATTAAAATTAGTGATGATTCTATCCCTCAAATTCTGCCTCTCTATGTTTAGTCCTGACTCTGGGACCAGCAAGAGGCCAGTCCCTGTGCTCCTCAGAGTCCCAGCAGGAGGCCAGTCCCTGTGCTCCTCAGAGTCCCAGCAGGAGGCCAGTCCCTGTGCTCCTCAGAGTCCCAGCAGGAGGCCAGTCCCTGTGCTCCTCAGAGTCCCAGCAGGAGGCCAGTCCCTGTGCTCCTCAGAGTCCCAGCAGGAGGCCAGTCCCTGTGCTCCTCAGAGTCCCAGCAGGAGACCAGTCCCTGTGCTCCTCAGAGTCCCAGCAGGAGGCCAGTCCCTGTGCTCCTCAGAGTCCCAGCAGGAGGCCAGTCCCTGTGCTCCTCAGAGTCCCAGCAGGAGGCCAGTCCCTGTGCTCCTCAGAGTCCCAGCAGGAGGCCAGTCCCTGTGCTCTTCAGAGTCCCAGCAGGAGGCCAGTCCCTGTGCTCCTCAGAGTCCCAGCATGAGGCCAGTCCCTGTGCTCCTCAGAGTCCCAGCAGGAGGCCAGTCCCTGTGTTCCTCAGAGTCCCAGCAGGAGTCCAGTCCCTGTGCTCCTCAGAGTCCCAGCAACATGTCACAGATGGACTTAAAAGCAAACCTCCAATTTTCAAAGTTCATCAAAGCAACAGCGTCATGTCTTTGAACGACTTTAATGCAGACGTAAGACGTAAACAACGCCTACAAGACGTAAACAAATCCAACAAGACGTAAACAAATCCGCTGTTTCTCGGCCCAGTTTAAAGTATCTTTCTAACACTTGAATCGTCGCCGCTGAAGCCGAGGTGCCGCTCTGCCAATATTTGTTTACAGCGAGAGCCAAAGTTGTAAATGAAAAAGCCGGATCCATAATGTCATCAGGACTGTGCATCAATGCGGCCAACACAGGGATCTATGGCGGATATTTGGGCTTCGCTAAACGGAATGTGCTCTCAGGCAAAAATCCATCCTCAGTGAAGAATGTCTCCATCATTTCCCAGAATAACAACAGGAGCTGGGTCACATGCTGCAGGACGGAGAGGCATCGGGCTGTCGCCGCGGTAACCACGTTATTACTGGGGCTGTGTGGTTTTGGTACAACGGGTTTAACTGGTTACCTGCCAGAAGATAGGTAGATAGAGAGAGAGAGAGATAGAGAAAGAGAGAGAGAGAGTGACAGAGAGAGAGAAAGAGGCAGAGAGAGAGAGAGAGAGTACAGTGAAATGAGTACCATGGTGTGGTAAGACCAGGCTACAATAGGAGGATTTTCCCAAATGTTCGGAAAGAACCGCCCTCTCCACTTTTTGAACAAAACTCTGTGGACTTATTTGACGAGCACGTATCACCAGAATGATTGACAACTGGGAGGTCCAATAGTCTTGATGATCCAAAGCAGGGCCGGGCCTGGTTAGTGCTGTGATGGGAGACCAATGAGAACAGCAGGTGCCACAGTGGGGCGGCTGTAAAGTTCCAAACTGTGGTTGTGTCCTTAAGCAAGACACTTCCCCCACATTAGAATGAGTCTGGTGTGTGTGTGAATGGTTGGTGGTGGTGGGAGGGGCCGATGGCACAGACTGGTTGCCTCGCTTCTGTCAATGTGCCCCAGGGCAGCTGTGGCTACAGTAGTTTATCACAACAGAGTTTGGAGAGAGAGAATGATGATGTGAAGAGACTTTGAGAGTCTGAAAAGCTTTAAATGAAACCAATACATTATAATTATTATCATATATTTATTCTCAGATACTTCCTTCTTTCATCAGTATCTTTCTGTCTTTGCTCGTGGTGAAGAACAGTGGACGACAAACAACAAAGAGTGTTTTATAAATAACTCTATTCTAATGCAGAATCACTTTTACCCGAGTGGCGCCGACATCTCTGTGTCTTTGATGCAGTCCATTAAGAATAAATACATTCTGATGCTATTACGGTCCACAGCTCCTCTGGGCTCGCCGCGAAAAGAAGAAGAAGAAGTGATTCATTTAAAAATAGATTAATTGCACATTTGTTCAGAGATAAGGATTAGTCGCTGGGATTTGTTGATACGATCAGAGCCGCAGCTACAGATGTGACGCTGATGAAGAAATGAAACGCTGGTTTTGGTGCGTGGCAGTGGGTAGACCCCCCTCGGCCTCGTTCAATCCTTCTCAAGCCGGATTTAACCACGTCACATGATCAAGCAGCCATTAAAAGCTGGACACAGCTCACCAAACAGCCTTTCAAGCCACAACCACCTCCTCCCAACCACCACCTCCTCCTCCCAACCTCCTCTTCCCCACCTCCTCCCAACCACCACCTCCTCCTCCCAACCTCCTCTTCCTCACCTCCTCCCTACCCTCACCTACTCCTAACCACCTCCTCCTCCCAACCCTCTCCTACTCCCGACCCTCACCTCCTCCCGACCCTCACCTCCTCCCGACCCTCACCTCCTCCCGACCCTCTCCTACTCCCGACCCTCACCTCCTCCCGACCCTCACCTCCTCCCGACCCTCACCTCCTCCCGACCTCCACCTCCTCCCGATCCTCACCTCCTCCCGACCCTCACCTCCTCCTCCGACCCTCACCTCCTCCCGACCCTCACCTCCTCCCCCACCCCCGACCCTCACCTCCTCCCGACCCTCACCTCCTCCCGACCCTCACCTCCTCCCGACCCTCACCTCCTCCCGACCTCCACCTCCTCCCGACCCTCACCTCCTCCCGATCCTCACCTCCTCCCGACCCTCACCTCCTCCCGATCCTCACCTCCTCCCGACCATCACCTCCTCCCGACCATCACCTCCTCCCGGCCTCCACCTCCTCCCTTCCACCACCTCCTCCTGACCCTCACCTCCTCCTGACCCTCACCTCCTCCCGACCCTCACCTCCTCCCGATCCTCACCTCCTCCCGACCCTCACCTCCTCCCGATCCTCACCTCCTCCCGACCCTCACCTCCTCCCGACCCTCACCTCCTCCCGACCCTCACCTCCTCCTGACCCTCACCTCCTCCCGACCCTCACCTCCTCCCTTCCACCACCTCCTCCCGATCCTCACCTCCTCCCGATCCTCACCTCCTCCCGATCCTCACCTCCTCCCGATCCTCACCTCCTCCCGATCCTCACCTCCTCCCTTCCACCACCTCCTCCCGACCCTCACCTCCTCCCGATCCTCACCTCCTCCCGACCATCACCTCCTCCCGACCCTCACCTCCTCCCGACCCTCACCTCCTCCCACCCCTCTCGGCCTCCACCTCCTCCTGACCCTCACCTCCTCCCGACCCTCACCTCCTCCCGGCCTCCACCTCCTCCCGACCCTCACCTCCTCCCGATCCTCACCTCCTCCCGATCCTCACCTCCTCCCGATCCTCACCTCCTCCCTTCCACCACCTCCTCCCGACCCTCACCTCCTCCCGATCCTCACCTCCTCCCGACCATCACCTCCTCCCGACCATCACCTCCTCCCGGCCTCCACCTCCTCCCGACCCTCACCTCCTCCCTTCCACCACCTCCTCCTGACCCTCACCTCCTCCCGACCCTCACCTCCTCCCGACCCTCACCTCCTCCCGACCTCCACCTCCTCCCGATCCTCACCTCCTCCCGATCCTCACCTCCTCCCGACCCTCACCTCCTCCCGACCCTCACCTCCTCCCGACCTCCACCTCCTCCCGATCCTCACCTCCTCCCGACCCTCACCTCCTCCCGACCCTCACCTCCTCCCGACACTCACCTCCTCCCGACCTCCACCTCCTCCCGATCCTCACCTCCTCCCGATCCTCACCTCCTCCTCCCGATCCTCACCTCCTCCCGACCCTCACCTCCTCCCGACCCTCACCTCCTCCCGACCCTCACCTCCTCCCTTCCACCACCTCCTCCCGGCCTCCACCTCCTCCTCCCGATCCTCACCTCCTCCCGACCCTCACCTCCTCCCGACCATCACCTCCTCCCGATCCTCACCTCCTCCCGACCTCCACCTCCTCCCGACCTCCACCTCCTCCCTTCCACCACCTCCTCCCGACCCTCACCTCCTCCCGATCCTCACCTCCTCCCGACCCTCACCTCCTCCCGACCCTCACCTCCTCCCGACCCTCACCTCCTCCCTTCCACCACCTCCTCCCGACCCTCACCTCCTCCCGATCCTCACCTCCTCCCGACCTCCACCTCCTCCCTTCCACCACCTCCTCCCGACCCTCACCTCCACCCGATCCTCACCTCCTCCCGATCCTCACCTCCTCCCGACCCTCACCTCCTCCCGACCCTCACCTCCTCCCTTCCACCACCTCCTCCCGACCCTCACCTCCTCCCGATCCTCACCTCCTCCCAACCCTCACCTCCTCCCGACCATCACCTCCTCCCGACCTCCACCTCCTCCCGGCCTCCACCTCCTCCCGAGCCTCACCTCCTCCCCACCCTCACCTCCTCCCGACCACCACCTCCTCCCGATCCTCACCTCCTCCCGACCCTCACCTCCTCCCGACCCTCACCTCCTCCCGACCCTCACCTCCTCCCGACCCTCACCTCCTCCCGACCCTCTCCTACTCCCGACCATCACCTCCTCCCGGCCTCCACCTCCTCCCGATCCTCACCTCCTCCTGACCCTCACCTCCTCCCGATCCTCACCTCCTCCCGACCCTCACCTCCTCCCGACCCTCACCTCCTCCCGGCCTCCACCTCCTCCCGACCCTCACCTCCTCCCGACCCTCACCTCCTCCCGACCCTCACCTCCTCCCGACCTCCACCTCCTCCCTTCCACCACCTCCTCCCGACCCTCACCTCCTCCCGATCCTCACCTCCTCCCGACCCTCACCTCCTCCCGACCCTCACCTCCTCCCGACCATCACCTCCTCCCGACCTCCACCTCCTCCCGATCCTCACCTCCTCCCGACCCTCACCTCCTCCCGACCCTCACCTCCTCCCTTCCACCACCTCCTCCCGACCCTCACCTCCTCCCGATCCTCACCTCCTCCCGACCTCCACCTCCTCCCGATCCTCACCTCCTCCCGACCCTCACCTCCTCCCGACCCTCACCTCCTCCCGATCCTCACCTCCTCCCGACCCTCACCTCCTCCCGATCCTCACCTCCTCCCGACCCTCACCTCCTCCCGACCCTCACCTCCTCCCGACCCTCACCTCCTCCTGACCCTCACCTCCTCCCGACCCTCACCTCCTCCCTCACCACTCCACCACCTCCCTCCCGATCCTCACCTCCTCCCGATCCTCACCTCCTCCCGATCCTCACCTCCTCCCGATCCTCACCTCCTCCCTTCCACCACCTCCTCCCGACCCTCACCTCCTCCCGATCCTCACCTCCTCCCGATCCTCACCTCCTCCCGATCCTCACCTCCTCCCTTCCACCACCTCCTCCCGATCCTCACCTCCTCCCGACCCTCACCTCCTCCCGACCCTCACCTCCTCCCGACCATCACCTCCTCCCGACCTCCACCTCCTCCCGATCCTCACCTCCTCCCGACCCTCACCTCCTCCCGACCCTCACCTCCTCCCTTCCACCACCTCCTCCCGACCCTCACCTCCTCCCGATCCTCACCTCCTCCCGACCTCCACCTCCTCCCGATCCTCACCTCCTCCCGACCCTCACCTCCTCCCGACCCTCACCTCCTCCCGATCCTCACCTCCTCCCGACCCTCACCTCCTCCCGATCCTCACCTCCTCCCGACCCTCACCTCCTCCCTTCCACCACCTCCTCCCGGCCTCCACCTCCTCCTCCCGATCCTCACCTCCTCCCGACCCTCACCTCCTCCCGACCCTCACCTCCTCCCTTCCACCACCTCCTCCCGACCCTCACCTCCTCCCGATCCTCACCTCCTCCCAACCCTCACCTCCTCCCGACCATCACCTCCTCCCGACCTCCACCTCCTCCCGGCCTCCACCTCCTCCCGACCCTCACCTCCTCCCGACCATCACCTCCTCCCGACCTCCACCTCCTCCCGATCCTCACCTCCTCCCGACCCTCACCTCCTCCCGACCCTCACCTCCTCCCGACCCTCACCTCCTCCCGACCCTCACCTCCTCCCGACCCTCACCTCCTCCCGACCATCACCTCCTCCCGGCCTCCACCTCCTCCCGATCCTCACCTCCTCCTGACCCTCACCTCCTCCCGATCCTCACCTCCTCCCGACCCTCACCTCCTCCCGACCCTCACCTCCTCCCGGCCTCCACCTCCTCCCGACCCTCACCTCCTCCCGACCCTCACCTCCTCCCGACCCTCACCTCCTCCCGACCTCCACCTCCTCCCTTCCACCACCTCCTCCCGACCCTCACCTCCTCCCGATCCTCACCTCCTCCCGACCCTCACCTCCTCCCGACCCTCACCTCCTCCCGACCATCACCTCCTCCCGACCTCCACCTCCTCCCGATCCTCACCTCCTCCCGACCCTCACCTCCTCCCGACCCTCACCTCCTCCCTTCCACCACCTCCTCCCGACCCTCACCTCCTCCCGATCCTCACCTCCTCCCGACCTCCACTCCTCCCGATCCTCACCTCCTCCCCGACCCTCACCTCCTCCCGACCCTCACCTCCTCCCTTCCACCACCTCCTCCCGACCCTCACCTCCTCCCGACCCTCACCTCCTCCCGACCCTCACCTCCTCCCGGCCTCCACCTCCTCCCCGACCATCACCTCCTCCCGACCCTCACCTCCTCCCTTCCACCACCTCCTCCCGACCCTCACCTCCTCCCTTCCACCACCTCCTCCCGACCCTCACCTCCTCCCGATCCTCCCCTCCTCCCGACCTCCACCTCCTCCCGATCCTCACCTCCTCCCGACCCTCACCTCCTCCCGACCCTCACCTCCTCCCTTCCACCACCTCCTCCCGACCCTCACCTCCTCCCGACCCTCACCTCCTCCCGACCCTCACCTCCTCCCGGCCTCCACCTCCTCCCGACCATCACCTCCTCCCGACCCTCACCTCCTCCCTTCCACCACCTCCTCCCGACCCTCACCTCCTCCCTTCCACCACCTCCTCCCGACCTCCACCTCCTCCCGATCCTCACCTCCTCCCGACCCTCACCTCCTCCCGACCCTCACCTCCTCCCAACCCTCACCTCCTCCCGACCATCACCTCCTCCCGACCTCCACCTCCTCCCGGCCTCCACCTCCTCCCGACCCTCACCTCCTCCCGACCATCACCTCCTCCCGACCTCCACCTCCTCCCGATCCTCACCTCCTCCCGACCCTCACACTCCTCCCGACCCTCACCTCCTCCCGACCCTCACCTCCTCCCGACCCTCACCTCCTCCCGACCCTCACCTCCTCCCGACCCTCTCCTACTCCCGACCATCACCTCCTCCCGGCCTCCACCTCCTCCCGATCCTCACCTCCTCCTGACCCTCACCTCTTCCCGATCCTCACCTCCTCCCGACCCTCACCTCCTCCCGACCCTCACCTCCTCCCGGCCTCCACCTCCTCCCGACCCTCACCTCCTCCCGACCCTCACCTCCTCCCGACCCTCACCTCCTCCCGACCTCCACCTCCTCCCTTCCACCACCTCCTCCCGACCCTCACCTCCTCCCGATCCTCACCTCCTCCCGATCCTCACCTCCTCCCGACCCTCACCTCCTCCCGACCCTCACCTCCTCCCGACCATCACCTCCTCCCGACCTCCACCTCCTCCCGATCCTCACCTCCTCCCGACCCTCACCTCCTCCCGACCCTCACCTCCTCCCTTCCACCACCTCCTCCCGACCCTCACCTCCTCCCGATCCTCACCTCCTCCCGACCTCCACCTCCTCCCGATCCTCACCTCCTCCCGACCCTCACCTCCTCCCGACCCTCACCTCCTCCCTTCCACCACCTCCTCCCGACCCTCACCTCCTCCCGACCCTCACCTCCTCCCGACCCTCACCTCCTCCCGGCCTCCACCTCCTCCCGACCATCACCTCCTCCCGACCCTCACCTCCTCCCTTCCACCACCTCCTCCCGACCCTCACCTCCTCCCTTCCACCACCTCCTCCCGACCCTCACCTCCTCCCGACCCTCACCTCCTCCCAATCCTCACCTCCTCCTGACCCTCACCTCCTCCCGGCCTCCACCTCCTCCCGACCCTCACCTCCTCCCGACCCTCACCTCCTCCCGACCCTCACCTCCTCCCGACCCTCACCTCCTCCCGATCCTCACCTCCTCCCGACCACCACCTCCTCCCGACCCTCACCTCCTCCCGACCCTCACCTCCTCCCGACCCTCACCTCCTCCCGGCCTCCACCTCCTCCCGACCCTCACCTCCTCCCGACCCTCACCTCCTCCCGGCCTCCACCTCCTCCCGACCCTCACCTCCTCCCGACCCTCACCTCCTCCCGACCATCACCTCCTCCCGACCCTCACCTCCTCCCGACCTCCACCTCCTCCCGACCCTCACCTCCTCCCGACCCTCACCTCCTCCCGATCCTCACCTCCTCCCGACCCTCACCTCCTCCCGATCCTCACCTCCTCCCGACCATCACCTCCTCCCGATCCTCACCTCCTCCCGACCATCACCTCCTCCTGACCCTCACCTCCTCCCGGCCTCCACCTCCTCCCGACCCTCACCTCCTCCCGACCCTCACCTCCTCCCGGCCTCCACCTCCTCCCGACCCTCACCTCCTCCCGACCCTCACCTCCTCCCCGACCCTCACCTCCACCTCCTCCCGACCCTCACCTCCTCCCGACCCTCACCTCCTCCCACTCCTCACCTCCTCCCGACCCTCACCTCCTCCCGACCTCCACCTCCTCCCGACCTCCACCTCCTCCCTTCCACCACCTCCTCCCGACCCTCACCTCCTCCCGACCCTCACCTCCTCCCGACCCTCACCTCCTCCCGACCCTCACCTCCTCCCGACCCTCACCTCCTCCTGACCCTCACCTCCTCCCGACCCTCACCTCCTCCCGACCCTCACCTCCTCCTGACCCTCACCTCCTCCCGACCCTCACCTCCTCCCGACCTCCACCTCCTCCCGACCCTCACCTCCTCCCGACCCTCACCTCCTCCCGACCTCCACCTCCTCCCGACCATCACCTCCTCCCGACCCTCACCTCCTCCCGGCCTCCACCTCCTCCCGACCCTCACCTCCTCCCGACCCTCACCTCCTCCCGGCCTCCACCTCCTCCCGACCCTCACCTCCTCCCGACCTCCACCTCCTCCCGACCTCCACCTCCTCCCTTCCACCACCTCCTCCCGACCCTCACCTCCTCCCGACCCTCACCTCCTCCTGACCCTCACCTCCTCCCGACCCTCACCTCCTCCCGACCCTCACCTCCTCCTGACCCTCACCTCCTCCCGACCCTCACCTCCTCCCGACCTCCACCTCCTCCCGACCCTCACCTCCTCCCGACCCTCACCTCCTCCCGGCCTCCACCTCCTCCCGACCCTCACCTCCTCCTGACCCTCACCTCCTCCCGGCCTCCACCTCCTCCCTTCCACCACCTCCTCCTGACCCTCACCTCCTCCCGGCCTCCACCTCCTCCCTTCCACCACCTCCTCCTGACCCTCACCTCCTCCCGACCCTCACCTCCTCCCGGCCTCCACCTCCTCCCTTCCACCACCTCCTCCTGACCCTCACCTCCTCCCGATCCTCACCTCCTCCCGACCCTCACCTCCTCCCGACCCTCACCTCCTCCCGACCTCCACCTCCTCCTGACCCTCACCTCCTCCCGATCCTCACCTCCTCCCGACCCTCACCTCCTCCCGACCCTCACCTCCTCCCGGCCTCCACCTCCTCCCGACCCTCACCTCCTCCCGACCATCACCTCCTCCCGACCATCACCTCCTCCCTTCCACCACCTCCTCCCGACCCTCACCTCCTCCCGACCCTCACCTCCTCCCGACCCTCACCTCCTCCCGACCCTCACCTCCTCCCGACCATCACCTCCTCCCGACCCTCACCTCCTCCCGACCCTCACCTCCTCCCTTCCACCACCTCCTCCCGACCCTCACCTCCTCCCGACCCTCACCTCCTCCCGACCCTCACCTCCTCCCGACCCTCACCTCCTCCCGACCCTCACCTCCTCCCGACCATCACCTCCTCCCGACCATCACCTCCTCCCGGCCTCCACCTCCTCCCGACCCTCATCTCCTCCCGACCATCACCTCCTCCCGGCCTCCACCTCCTCCTGACCCTCACCTCCTCCCGACCATCACCTCCTCCCGACCATCACCTCCTCCCGGCCTCCACCTCCTCCCGACCCTCACCTCCTCCCTTCCACCACCTCCTCCTGACCCTGACCTCCTCCCGACCCTCACCTCCTCCCGGCCTCCACCTCCTCCCTTCCACCACCTCCTCCTGACCCTCACCTCCTCCCGACCCTCACCTCCTCCCGGCCTCCACCTCCTCCCTTCCACCACCTCCTCCTGACCCTCACCTCCTCCCGACCCTCACCTCCTCCCGATCCTCACCTCCTCCCGATCCTCACCTCCTCCCGACCCTCACCTCCTCCCGACCTCCACCTCCTCCCGATCCTCACCTCCTCCCGACCCTCACCTCCTCCTGACCCTCACCTCCTCCCTTCCACCACCTCCTCCCTCCTCACCCCCTCCCGACCCTCACCTCCTCCCGACCCTCACCTCCTCCCGACCCTCACCTCCTCCCGACCCTCACCTCCTCCCGACCATCACCTCCTCCCGACCCTCACCTCCTCCCGACCCTCACCTCCTCCCTTCCACCACCTCCTCCCGACCCTCACCTCCTCCCGACCCTCACCTCCTCCCGACCCTCACCTCCTCCCGACCCTCACCTCCTCCCGATCCTCACCTCCTCCCGACCCTCACCTCCTCCCGACCTCCACCTCCTCCCGCCATCCTCCGACCTCCCTCCTCCCGACCTCCACCTCCTCCTGACCCTCACCTCCTCCCGATCCTCACCTCCTCCCGACCCTCACCTCCTCCCGGCCTCCACCTCCTCCCGACCCTCACCTCCTCCCGACCCTCACCTCCTCCCGATCCTCACCTCCTCCCGACCCTCACCTCCTCCTGACCCTCACCTCCTCCCTTCCACCACCTCCTCCCGATCCTCACCTCCTCCCGACCCTCACCTCCTCCCGACCCTCACCTCCTCCCGACCCTCACCTCCTCCCGACCCTCACCTCCTCCCGACCATCACCTCCTCCCGACCCTCACCTCCTCCCGACCCTCACCTCCTCCCTTCCACCACCTCCTCCCGACCCTCACCTCCTCCCGACCCCTCACCTCCTCCCGACCCTCACCTCCTCCCGACCCTCACCTCCTCCCGACCCTCACCTCCTCCCGACCCTCACCTCCTCCTGACCCTCACCTCCTCCCGACCCTCACCTCCTCCTGACCCTCACCTCCTCCCGACCCTCACCTCCTCCCTTCCACCACCTCCTCCCGACCCTCACCTCCTCCCGACCCTCACCTCCTCCCGACCCTCACCTCCTCCCGACCATCACCTCCTCCCTTCCACCACCTCCTCCTGACCCTCACCTCCTCCCGACCCTCACCTCCTCCCGACCCTCACCTCCTCCCGACCCTCACCTCCTCCCGACCCTCACCTCCTCCCGACCCTCACCTCCTCCCGACCTCCACCTCCTCCCGACCCTCACCTCCTCCCGACCCTCACCTCCTCCCGACCCTCACCTCCTCCCCGACCCTCACCTCCTCCCGACCATCACCTCCTCCCGACCATCACCTCCTCCCGACCATCACCTCCTCCCTTCCACCACCTCCTCCTGACCCTCACCTCCTCCCGACCCTCACCTCCTCCCTTCCACCACCTCCTCCTGACCCTCACCTCCTCCCGATCCTCACCTCCTCCCGACCCTCACCTCCTCCCGACCCTCACCTCCTCCCGACCCTCACCTCCTCCCGACCATCACCTCCTCCCGACCCTCACCTCCTCCCGACCCTCACCTCCTCCCTTCCACCACCTCCTCCCGACCCTCACCTCCTCCCGACCCTCACCTCCTCCCGACCCTCACCTCCTCCCGACCCTCACCTCCTCCCGATCCTCACCTCCTCCCGACCCTCACCTCCTCCCGACCTCCACCTCCTCCCGATCCTCACCTCCTCCCGACCTCCACCTCCTCCTGACCCTCACCTCCTCCCTTCCACCACCTCCTCCCGATCCTCACCTCCTCCCGACCCTCACCTCCTCCCGACCCTCACCTCCTCCCGACCCTCACCTCCTCCCGACCCTCACCTCCTCCCGACCATCACCTCCTCCCGACCCTCACCTCCTCCCGACCCTCACCTCCTCCCGACCCTCACCTCCTCCCGACCCTCACCTCCTCCCGACCATCACCTCCTCCCGACCCTCACCTCCTCCCGACCCTCACCTCCTCCCGACCCTCACCTCCTCCCGACCCTCACCTCCTCCCGACCTCCACCTCCTCCCGACCCTCACCTCCTCCCGACCCTCACCTCCTCCCGACCCTCACCTCCTCCCGACCCTCACCTCCTCCCGACCCTCACCTCCTCCCGACCATCACCTCCTCCCGACCACCACCTCCTCCTGACCCTCACCTCCTCCCGACCCTCACCTCCTCCCTTCCACCACCTCCTCCTGACCCTCACCTCCTCCCGATCCTCACCTCCTCCCGACCCTCACCTCCTCCCGACCCTCACCTCCTCCCGACCCTCACCTCCTCCCGACCCTCACCTCCTCCCGACCTCCACCTCCTCCCGACCCTCACCTCCTCCCTTCCACCACCTCCTCCTGACCCTCACCTCCTCCCGACCCTCACCTCCTCCCTTCCACCACCTCCTCCTGACCCTCACCTCCTCCCGACCCTCACCTCCTCCCTTCCACCACCTCCTCCCGACCCTCACCTCCTCCCGGCCTCCACCTCCTCCCTTCCACCACCTCCTCCTGACCCTCACCTCCTCCCGACCCTCACCTCCTCCCTTCCACCACCTCCTCCTGACCCTCACCTCCTCCCGATCCTCACCTCCTCCCGACCCTCACCTCCTCCCGACCCTCACCTCCTCCCGATCCTCACCTCCTCCCGACCCTCACCTCCTCCTGACCCTCACCTCCTCCCGATCCTCACCTCCTCCCGACCCTCACCTCCTCCCGACCCTCACCTCCTCCCGACCCTCACCTCCTCCCGACCCTCACCTCCTCCCGACCTCCACCTCCTCCCGACCCTCACCTCCTCCCTTCCACCACCTCCTCCTGACCCTCACCTCCTCCCGACCCTCACCTCCTCCCTTCCACCACCTCCTCCTGACCCTCACCTCCTCCCGACCCTCACCTCCCCCCCTCCACCTCCTCCCGACCCTCACCTCCTCCCGACCCTCACCTCCTCCCGACCCCACCTCCTCCCGACCATCACCTCCTCCCGACCCTCACCTCCTCCGACACCACCACCTCCTCCCGACCCTCACCTCCTCCCGACCCTCACCTCCTCCCGACCCTCACCCCCCGACCATCACCTCCTCCCGACCCTCACCTCCTCCCGACCCTCACCTCCTCCCGACCCTCACCTCCTCCCGACCCTCACCTCCTCCCGACCTCCACCTCCTCCCGACCCTCACCTCCTCCCGACCCTCACCTCCTCCCGACCCTCACCTCCTCCCGACCCTCACCTCCTCCCGACCCTCACCTCCTCCCGACCATCACCTCCTCCCGACCACCACCTCCTCCTGACCCTCACCTCCTCCCGACCCTCACCTCCTCCCTTCCACCACCTCCTCCTGACCCTCACCTCCTCCCGATCCTCACCTCCTCCCGACCCTCACCTCCTCCCGACCCTCACCTCCTCCCGACCCTCACCTCCTCCCGACCCTCACCTCCTCCCGACCTCCACCTCCTCCCGACCCTCACCTCCTCCCTTCCACCACCTCCTCCTGACCCTCACCTCCTCCCGACCCTCACCTCCTCCCTTCCACCACCTCCTCCTGACCCTCACCTCCTCCCGACCCTCACCTCCTCCCTTCCACCACCTCCTCCCGACCCTCACCTCCCG